TGCGAGAATAATTGTGTAAATAATTATATCCGATCAATGGTGAGATTTACTCTTATCTCGATTTCTAACTTTATTCTAAAAATATCGAGGAGACCAGGCAGTGTTCAAGATTAACCAGTTAAAACTTAGATTATTCTCTTACTTTTGCTCTTATGTTTGCGAGCCGCCTAAAAAGTACGCGGATCATCTGGTAGGAGGAAAGAGTACCACCGTAAAATTCAAAATCTCAAGGGTCATCGAGAGGAAGTAGGGTCAAAATGACGCCGTCTATTTTGCAGGGCTGACTTTTGCAGCTTCCGCCACTGTGGAAGCGGTTATACGGCACGTTCGACTGCAGGAAGTCCGTTACTATCCACCTGACGGCTTGTATCCCTGGAACGTGCGTCGATTTCTTCTCCCGGTTTAATTCTAAATCTATAACAACTGACATTACGATCCATTTTTCGTGTATTATCTTCTATAATTTTTTATTAATCCACCAATTATGTCTCTCTCAAGTTTCAATTTTATAATTATATTTCGTTTCCGATTCACATATATAAATTGTTGTTTCAATTTCCATCCTTTTCGACACTATTCTAGCGATAGACTTAAAGAAATAGACTGCGCATCTTTATACAAAAGACTGTGTTTTAAGCGCGATAGCGGTCTCTTTCTCTCTCGCACAATTGAAAGAGAGGGAATATCACGGCTGAAGGAGAATAAACAAAAAGGCGTATCCCCTCTCCTTCAATTGTGCGAGAGAGAAAGAGATCCGACTGCTATCGCTCTCTCTTTCTAATGTTTAAGGCAGTCTTTTGTATAGGGATGCGTAGGTCTATTTCTTCAAGTTTATGATTCTAGCAAGGAAATTATTACTTCTCTTTTCTCTCCTTAGAAACCATTACAAAAACCGATTAATTTCAGACTAGCACAAGTTTTTAAAACATATCATGGTTGGTCAATTGGTAAATACGTGAATGCAATACGATTTTAAGACTTGACATCTACGTCGTTCGTTTTTTATAAAAATGATAATCATGTACGTGCATATAATAGGATGACCGATAATAGTGAGAACATGTTTCATTGTTGGAGTTTTATGCATCGAGTTTTATTGTAAAACTCGTTAATAAAGTATAAGAGAACAGGATTATTATTGAACAAACCGAAAGAGAGAATGTATAGGAGTAAGTTTTATAATGATGTTCAAAACAGATCGTGTAAATAAAACTGTTGCGTTCTAACTTTTCATGACTCCATGCATAGAATAAAAAAAAACATATTTAAAACAAAAAAAAAACTTAAAGTGGTTGTATGATTACACTATTCTCTATACATATAGTTTTTATTTCTCTTGTCCTCTCTCTGCGTCTTGAATGCACCGGCATTTTTTATGAATATTGATGGAGAATTATGACGGAGTTGACTAAGAAGTCTTCTTTGTTTAATTTAGCAATCTCTCTCTCTCCTTTTCTCCCATTTTTCACAGCGCGTGTAAGTGATAAACATTGTTATTATTACTATGCATTAGATATGCATTATTGCTATAAGCATACAGGATAATGAGAATTTTCTTACTTCTTTTAACGAGTATTACAAATACGTTATTGTATTCTTTCTTTTAACGAGTATTACAATTACATTATTGTATTCTTTTGGATTTACATAAGAAACATTAAAATATACTAAAAAATAGTCACTCTTTTTGAAGAAAGATCTCGATAATTGTTGTTTATCGGTTATATGGCAAACATGTTTTTCATCATTCATTAAAATTTTGTATTTGTTATAAGAAGTAATAAGCCTACAAGTAATAGGCTATAATTTCTAACAGCGCCCATTTTCCATTAAAGTGGAACAAATAAGATATATATGTATATATAAGAGGATCTCTTTCGTACTTTCTGAATTACTTTGTGAAATCTTCTTGTACTTGATGTACAATATTTTTACATGTACAATACTTTAATGTTTAGTAGCACGAGAGTTTTAGATTTATCAAGCTAAAGTGCAATAAGTTTCAATTCTCCTTTTTTACATTTTATTCGTTAATATCGCAGATAATACTCGACTTTGATGTATATAATTTATTAAATTTATGTTTTTTAAATGTATCCAATGTCTTTAAACGTAAAGTATTAATAAGAAACGTTTCTATAGAAACGTTTTTAAATTCATAATTTAAAAAAGTATTTTTCATGTTTCTATAGACAAAATAAAAACTAATTTTTAATTAAAAATTAAAAATATATATAAATAATGAAATAAATAAATAAATCTAAGTATTATTGGTTCAAATGATAAATCGATAATAAGGAAGGTGTTTGTTTAAGACCATAAAGAACTCAGGTGGTTTTATACTTAACTCACCGTGTTTTATAAATCTATAATTTTAAAAAAGAAAAACAGTTTCAAATATTAATACAAACATTTCGGTCCCTTTCGGATCCTTTTCAATGTAACTATGATGATTTAATAGAACATATAAAATATAGATAATATAAAATATAAAATATAATATAATATAAAATATAATATAATATAATATAATATAAAATATAATATAAAATATAGATAACAATAAAAAAATAAAACAAACAGAATTAGCACTATACAGTCGAATGGTAAAATTGTAAATATCGCGGTCTAGTCGGTGACAGATAACATTTAAATTATAACTGGATAATATCGGTTACCTTCACCGACTCGACCACGATACCGATTACTTTTACAATTTTACCATTCGACTTGTATAGTGTTAATTCTGTTTGTTTCATTTTTCCTTTATCTATTTCTTTTATATGTTCTATTAAATCATCATAGTTATAATGAAGAGGGTTCGAAAGAGACTGAAACGTTGTATATTTGAAACTGTTTTTTTTTTAAATTATAAATTTATAAAACATGCTATACCATCTGCGTACTTCATGGTCTTAAACTAACCTTCCTTATTATTATCGATTTAGCATTTGGATCTGTTTAAGTTTGCAAGAAAATTTATGTTCTTTTTTTTCTCTTTGCTAACGCGTAAGAATAAAAATTTTTTTTCGTAATAATTTCATGTAATCGCGTAATCGTAATCTTGCCTCAGGCCTTCATAATTGTCTGTTACGAGTCTGGGAAAAGCAAGGTATCTTGAAAAGCAAGGTATCTCGCGCAATTCGTATCTCCCCCCTCTTCGCGAAGAAGCTCTCGATCTTTTCTGCGAACAGTCCTTAGATCTCGTTTCCGCGTACGACTAAGGATAAAGAAATTTTAATTTAAAACCGCGAGTTTTAAAGCGAGGAAGTTTTTTTTCCGATTCAAAAAACAATCGACGAGTGCCAGTGCGATAGGCAATAAACAGACGATTTTAATGGAAAGTGTTACTGCAGTAAAGTGGTGCATTTATACTAATTATTGTGTTATTTTAAAACTTTGAATTTATTAACATGGAACATCGATTACAAGCGCTAGTGTCATCCGCTGCGTTCGATGATGACCGCGTTTTGACCATCTATTGTCGGCTTAATTGTAATTCGCATTCGTGTGTGCCTTTGCGATTGGAGCGAGGCAAAACAATAAGTTTTTAATAAAAGACTCGTTAAATTTAAAAGAAAGATCTAGTAATCGAATATTCGCCTCTCGCTTCCTTCCTATCATTCTCTCACCTTCTCTTGCTTGCTTTGTTCCTTCGACGGTTCACTTTTAGTCGTAACAACATAACGATTTATCCTTTGTTCTAAAATCAATCCTCGTATTGAAAATCTCAATGTCTTCTGTCGCTCATCTCTTACTCTTTGTGAGCGATATCAGTATTTGATCGCCGCAAAAATTAACTCCGCGATTGAATAGGATCAATTATATTTAGATTTATTTATTTATTTTATTATTTATATATATTTTTAATTTTTACGATCTTTAATTAAAAATTACTTTTTATTTTGTCTATAGAAACGTGAAAAACATACATTTCCTTAACTATAGCTTTAAAAACGTTTCTACAGAAACGTTTCTTATTAATATTTTACATTTAAAAAATATTAAAAAATATTGGATACGTTTCAGAAATGTAAAACGAACGTGTACTACCTGGTATTATTTTATTAATTCTATGAGAAAACGAACGTTTAATGAATAAAAGGAAAAAAACTGATGTGCAGAAAAGTATTTTAAACGTTTCTTAAACAATTTTTTTTTATCAGAAAAGAAACGTATTTCTTAAGAAACATATTTCTTTACATTTTTAAAGTGAACATTATCTTCAAATTTCTTAGAAACATTTTCAAGAGTCAATTATGTTAAGTCCAAATGTTAAGAAATACGTCAACAAAATTATCGCATAGGTAATTTTATGTCAAATTTTCGCATGTCTTCAAATAAGTATAACTCCGTCAAAAATGGTCGTATTTAAAATTTTTTTTTCATTCTCAAGCTTAAAGCCTCTATTTTGAAAATCATTTGTCAGATTTAAAATTTATCTTCCCCTCCGCTCGTCATCTCCTCAAAAATAAGGAAAAGTAAGGTAATGCAATTTTTTGGAGACGTAACACGTCCTTACTTTTGAGGAGATGACGAGAGGGGAGAAGAATAAATTCTAAATCTGACAAATGATTTTCAAAATAGAAGCTTTAAGCTTGAGAATAAAAAAAAAATTTTTCAAATACGATATTCACTTTTGATGGAATTATACTTATTTGAAATTATGCGAAAATTTGACGTGATATTACCTATACGATAATTTTGACGGTGTATTTGTGAAACGAATATGTGTTATCTATAGACATATTAACATAGACTGCTTATAAAGTAGTGAGGGATTCCCCCTGATATGTAACTTCTCTCCCTCCTGAGAGAAAAGAATAGCATAAATTTACATGGGTTTGTCTTTTCCTGACACACAAGGTTCAACTACTGCCTTATAAGCAGTCTATATTAATTTATCTATATTAATATATGCTACCTCGGAATTTATATGTTTGTTACATCAAACTCGTGTAAAAAAATTGTGTATTAAATATATCAGTGTATTACATTTACATAGCACGATCTACTTTTTTAACATGGCAAGATCTACTTTTGATGAAATAAAAATCTTTGATGACTCGATGGATGATATGACCATTATAAAGAATATAATAATTAATATAGAAGATCAAGAGCGTGCCTTTTATATTACGGATATCGGTAATGTTCTTCGAAAGCATCAAGAATGGATTACTAAGATGCCTAAGGTCATCCCATACTTTGGTACGTATATTTTTTATTTTTATATTCTTAATAATATATTTACGGTATTAAAACTGTAACTCCATCCCAAATTTTAGCAATTAAATGTAATCCAGATCCAACGGTAATTAAAGTTCTCGCAGCTTTGAATGTCAGTTTCGATTGTGCATCCAAGGTAAACATTCTCGTGTTTTTCTTCAATCATCTAATATGTATTATTAGATAATCTCGAGGTAAAATAATATTATATATTTACGGTAGCAAGAAATAGAGCAAGTAATGCGATATGGAGTGCATGGTGATCGAATTATTTTTGCACATCCGACTAAATATCCATCTCACATAAAGTATGCTAAAAAGGTGGGCGTCGAAATAATGACGGTTGACAATGAAAACGAGTTGTTTAAGATTAAGGATCTCTTCTCCGAAGCTAAGTAAGTTTTCAGAATAAATTTAAAAAAAATAAATTTTTAGCAAAATGTATCTTATTTGTGTTGACCGATGCATCTTTCTGTATAATAGAATCGTTATACGTATACGTTGCGATGCGAAGAATAATAGTAATACCTCAGTAATATTGGGATTAAAATTCGGTTCCGAACCGAATGAGGAAACTATAAATTTAATAAAACTCGCAAAACATCTCCGTCTGAATCTGTACGGCTTTAGCTTCCACGTCGGTAGTCCGTGTAGAGAAATGAAGGCTTACAAAAGGGGAATCGAATTGTGCAAACAATTAATTAACATCTCCAAAGCAATTGGACACGACAATGTGCAGTTGATCGACATCGGCGGTGGATTTCCCGGAGAGAATGGGACGAATGCCGATATGGTATATTCAGGAACATTTTCTCAAATTTTCTTTCAAAATCATTTATCATTTTTCTTCACATTAAAAAGATTTTTATTAAATTAAAATTATTAAGCATTAAATTTTAAAAAGATAATATTCAATAAAATGAAACCTGAATTAATGTTAAATGAGTATTAAAACAGATATTAAGCAAAACTAAATATAGTTTCCAAATTTTTCAACATAAAACGATTGTAAAAGAATTGATTGAAAGGACTTGTAATGATAAGAAAATATAACTTTTATAATGTTCTTATTTATGTCAATACTGTCTCTTTTAAGACATTCTTATTTGTATCATTATTATGCATGTTGTCGATATGCGTTTCTCATAATTCTTTTAGTTCGCCAATATTATCAACGATGCGATACAAGATCTCGATCCTAGCATAAGAGTCATTAGTGAACCAGGAAGTTATTACGTAGCTTCAAGCTTTACTTTGGCTGCATATATACATTCTAAGAGAATTACTCCGAAGAATGGTAAAATGATGAGAATGTATTACATGAATTGCGGTGTATTCAATTCCTTTATAGATGAACTGCTGGGCCTGCAATCTAGAACACCGGTATTACTTTCCGAGGTAATTCTATATTTTGTTTCATATTAAAAGGGATTTTTTATTGATAGAAAGTAATCGTCGATTCATCCGTACATTACAGCCAATAAGCAACGAAAAATTCCTTTCAAGTATATGGGGGCCGACTGCCGATTCGTGTGACGTAATTGTCAAGGAAATGATGTTGCCCGAGGTTCAAATAGGCGATTGGTTGATTTGGAAAGATATGGGCGCTTACTCTACAGCCCTTGCTACTACATTCAACGGGTTCCCAATTCCGATTGTGATACCAATAATTAGAAAGAGTCAATGGTTAATATGGAAAAACGAGATATATATAGTTTAATTATATTATTATTTATTCGTACGATGATTCTTACAGCTTTTAAATAATTGTATAAATTGATATTTACAGGAAGAATTTTAAAGCGCAAATTGACTCAGTGTAGCAATTTGCTTCATTCTTCAAAAATCTATCGAGCAACTTGGGAAAAAATATATAATGAGAATAATAGAATAATATCTTAATGAAATATAAAAAGCTCCACCAAAAATAAATATAATAAATATAATATTATATTAAATTAAATATTATATATTATATATTATATATTATATATTATACATAATTATAATTATAATTATATATTATATTATATTAAATATAATATTAAAAATTTAGCTTCTGTAATCGACGAGAAATATTAAATTAAACTCCGTGACGTATTCTTGATATCGATATGTATATCTATAATATTCGTAAAAAATGCATAAAAACTCTTGCTTAATATTAATTAATTGATATATATCAATACATATCAATTAATTGATATTAAGCAAGATTAAAGAGATAGTTTGGAAAATTTGATTACGCGTTTTAGAAAGTCATTTACATAATCATAGAACATAAATTTTAAGAATTATATTTTTTATGCTTTCTATTTTAACTCTCTCGACTCTATTTTGAAATGGATATTTAATTTATGAAACAAATTGTTAATTTATATTTATATAAGATAAAGTAAAATAAAAACTTAATTTTATATAAATGTTAAGATGCCCGAATGTAATACAAGTCCGAAAAATAAAAGTTTAAGAAATAAAAATTGTTGCGTTTGCTTTTATCATAAGTAGGACGGAAGGAAGAAAAATATGCATATTTTCTGAAAGTTTAAAATTTTTCTACACGTAGATAGATATATCATGTTGACTGTACAATTTCATTAATAATTGCACAGCAAAAATTGCAGTGAAATTTTTATACGAGTTTACTTGGGATGCGCAATGATTGCATTTATTTCGATAATTTTTCAACATGTGTTATCGTATTTCTTATTTTTAACACTGACTGTGACAACTGTAAATGCACGCTGTAAATCCAGCATATTATACATAAATGAGTTATACCAGGTAATATATTTGTGAGATTTACCTTTATCTCGATTTCTATAATTTTGTTCTACGATATCGAGTAAGCAGTGTTCAAGATTAACAAGTCAAAATTTAGACTTTTATCTTCTGCCTAAAAAGTGTGCGGATCAACTGGAAGAAGGAGAGGAGAGTGCCACCGTAAAATTCAAAATCCCAAGAGTCATCGAGAGTGGAGAGGGGATAGGGCGGAAAACGACCTTTGCAAGATCGACCTTTCCCAGCTTCCGCCACTGTGGAAGCTGTTATACGACACAGTACGTCCGACTACAGGAAGTCCGTTACTACTATCCACCCGATGGCTTGTATTCCTGGAACGTGCGATTTTTCTTCTCCCGGTTTAATTATAAATCTATAACAACTGACATTGCGATCTATTTTTCGTGTATTATTTTCTAAGTTTTATTAATCTACCTTTCTAAAGTTTCTCAATTGTACGATTATATTTTGTTTCCAATTCACATATACAAATTGTTACTTCAGTTTCCATCTTTCTCGAAACTATTCTGCCAAGAACTATTATAACTATTATTTCTTTTTTGTTTTCTCTCCTTAGAAACCATTGTAAAGAATGATTAATTTCAGACTAGCACAAGTTTTTAAAACTAGCACATGTTTTTAAAACATATCATGGTCGGTCAACTGATAAATACGTGAATGCAATACGATTTTAAGACTTGACATCTACGTCGTTCGTTCTTTATAAAAATAATAATCATGTACGTGCATATAATAGGATGACCGGCGATAGTGAAAACATGTTTGCATTGTTGGAGTTTTATGCATCGAGTTTTATTGTAAAACTCGTTAATGAAGTATCAGAGAATAGAATTATTATTAAACAAACCGAGAGAGAGAGAGAGAGAGAGAGAGAGAGAGTTCATAGAAATAAATTTTATAACGATGTTTAAAACAAATCGTATAAATAAAACAGTTGCGTTCTAACTTTTCGTGATTCCATGCATAGATTAAATAAGAAAAACATATTTAAAATAAAATACTTAAAGTGATCGCACGATTACATTATTCGCTATATATTTCTCTTGTCCCCTCTCTCTGCATCTTGAATGCACCGGGATTTTTTATGAATGTTGATGAAGGATTATGATGGAGTTCTAAATAAATTGATAAAGAATACGGCTCTATGTATTTAGCAACATGATAATTATGAAACGAGCGATGAAAGCCTAAAAACGCGGATGGTATTGCATAAATTTTTTTTTTTTTTTTTTTTTCAAACATTAATTGTTCGCGAAAAAATTCACTTAATATTTATCATTTACACACACTAATTCGCAGATTAACTTGGCATATACACCAAGTAAAATATATGTATAAATGTCTTGTGACATAAATGTCTTGTGACGTAAATGTCTAATTTTTCCGCAAACAGTTAATGTTTAAAAAAAAAAAAAAAAAAATTTACGCAATGCCATCCGCGTTTTTAGACTCTTATCGCTCGTTTCATAATTATCATGTTGCCGATTATAATGGAATTGACTAAGAAGTCTTCTTTTTTTAATTTAGCAATTTTTAACTTTTTTAGAATAAGGAAGAAAATGTAATCTTTCTCTCTCTCTCTCTCTCTCTTTCTGTCTCTCTTCCCTCTCTCATTTTTCATAGTGTGTGTAAATGATAAATATTAAGTTATTATTATAGGCGAGCACGCAGGATAACTGAGAATTTTTTCCCTTTTAACGAATCGCGATTGTAAGCTTTTGGATTTGTATATTTTCGGTTTGAAACGTTAAAATATACTAGAAAATATGCTTATTTTTCTCAAGATCTCAATACGTTTGTCAGATATATACAGGATATGATTCAATAATCTATTGCCCTTAAAACATATGACATATTAAAACTTATGACATATTCTTGATATATATTTCTAAGACGACTTTTCCTTTTGCAAAACTTTGTTCGAAGCTTAGTTTTTGAATTATGAAAGGAAATAGTTAATTTATTACGAACCGAGTATGAGGAAAAGCGGTGCGATTCATCGTCAAAAGCGAACGTTTAGACGTCTGCTGCTATTAGCTAACGATGATAATAATAATTATGAACGAATGAGAGAGACAAAGTGTGTGTGCGTGTGTGTGCGTGTGTTCGCATACATGTATATATTTATGTTATTTATACTATCATATATAGTCGATCAGTTGATTGCAGGTCCCCTCTCCCCCTCTCCTCCCGCCACGTAAGCGCTAGCGTTTGACGATGAGTCGCATCACTCTTGCTTACCTTTTATGCGCATTTTGTAGTTAAGCTTTTATGCTCATTTTGTAATTAACTATTTCCTTTTGTAATTCAAAAAATTAAGTTTCGGACAATACTTTGCAAAAGAAAAAGTCATTTCAGAATTGAGTCAGAAATAAATGTCATTTTAAGGATAATAGGTTATTTTTAATCATCTTATATTCTTTATTAAAATTTTATATTTGCTCGTTTAAAGTAAGATAAAAATAATGGACTATTATTTCTAATAGCTCTCATTTTCTATTAAGTGGGAGAGATAAGTAATAATATATAAGAAAATTTCGTTCTTAATGTTTGAATTACTTTATAAAATTTCTTTGTATCTAACGTATATTTTTTTAAATACTTTAGTGTTTAGTAGCGCGAGAGGTTTAGATTTATCAAGGTAAAGTGCAATAAGTACATTTTCCTTTTTTACATTTTATCCGCTAATAATTTACCTATTTGTTGTATGAAACTATAACAATGTAATTTAATTAAAATATATTGTGAAATACACCTAATATATAATAAGATTATATTATACACCTTTTGTTAAAAAATCCTGCCTATTAAATATACCAGTGTGTGTTAGTTTTGTAATTGAACATGGCACGATCTACTTTTGATGAAGTAAAAATTTTTAACGATTTCATGGATGATATGCACATTATAAAAATTAATATAACTAATATGGAAGATTAAGAACGCGCGTTTTACATTGCGGATATCGATAATATTCTTCGAAAGCATCAAGAATATATGTTGTTATTCGTATTTTTTATATTAAACTGATCGTAACAATTGTAAACGCATGTTAAATCAAGCAAGCCAAGCAAATTATATAAACAAGTTATACAAGTCAATATGCTTGTAATAATTAAATACAAGAATTACAATTTTTCCAGTATTAAACTCTTAAATTGATTCTTCGTGTTGCCTATTACGGTATCGATTTCGCAAAGCACATTTTTCCCTCCTGCCTTGCTTTTGACTCGACGAAGCTAGTTCGCCGTCGACGCAAACGCGGCACTAAGTATGCATAGACGGGTTTCCGGTTCGGGTACGCGTTTGGATTTCACCTTTACGACCCGTTGGATCGGTCCTGGTAACTAGTTGGCATGATGCCATGCATAGAAGCGCGCGCTAATAAGTGTACACCTGCTTCGGTACCTACACTCGCTAATACTCGAGTGGCTGACAAATGCTCCAATATCCGCCGCCCGTTCGCGCTCAGCCGATACCAAGATGAGTTTCCTTCAGTGTTCGACCAACTTTTTATTCGCTCGGGCATGCTCTACTTCGTGTCAGGTCACGACGCGGAGCAACGTATATATATCTAGTGAAATCGCTACGTTGACATACTTAAAGTTGAGAATAAATTTACCTCGATCTTTTATCGGATGAGTAAAAATAGTGAAAATTCCACATTATATATAATATTAAATAATTTTATATTAAGAATTTTTGTTAGTCTACAAAGACTTCATATAGACTATATATTTCACTCATGCTGTTAAACACAATAATAGAAACGATAAGATTTTAATATAATAATATAACAGAAGAAAAGAGGGAGAAGTAGGCTAATGAGAGTCAAACGCAGTAATAAAAGCGCAATCAATAATCCTAAAGAAATTTTTCTTTTAATGTAGCTCCCCATGTTTCGGTTAATTTTTTGATCGTCTTTAACCAATATGTGCGGAAATAAAGAAAGGAAATCGTGAATATTCAATAGCTTCGTCAATATTCTTGATCTTATCGACCTTCTCTATTCATATATACTATGCTGAAGATGAAGAAGTTGACCGAGACATGGAGACATATTAAAAGAGAAATGTTCCAAAAATATTAGTCACACTGTTGTTAGCCCAGTTTTC